GAGCCTGTGCTGCTGTACCATGCCTACTCTCCCCCATTGCTGCAGCCACAAAGCTCCTTATGAGATAAATCCTGCCTGGGAGTTCAGGTAAGTTGTTGATGACATGCATGGGAGTGCTGGCTTGTGCATGCTGGTAGGGGTGAATGTCTGCATGCTAGATAATAGGAACTGTGCTGTGCTGGACAGAGCCTGTTAACACTGTGTGAAGCCATAGGCACTGGAAAAAACTAAACTTTCCTTTTTAAATTATTTTTAAAAGATAGTTCCCAGCCTTTGCCTTCTCTCCCAACTCTGCAAAGTGTTGGTTTTGGTAGATAAAACTGAAGAGCAAGATGGAAACTCTGATGGCTCATAAAGTAGGTTTGAAAGGAGTGCTGTCTCCTTTTTGTGTCAAATCCTAGGCACTTTTTTTCCACTTACTTGGCTTCTTGCCTATGTTAAATTGCTGAATTTTGCTTCATTAAAATAATTGCTGATTGCATTTTACACTTTAGTTTAGTAGCTGCTCAGCAAAGGCTCAGCCATTAAAGATGCTAACCATCTCCTGTGACCTACAGGTTAATCTTGATTTCATTGGGCCTCAGTGAGACCTGATGGTCCACAAATGCTGAGGTCCAGTGCTCTGCCTGACATGTAGCCAAGCGGTAGGATGGGCTACATACTTGGAACTCAGATTCTGGGGGACAATTTAATTAGGTTTATTAAGAATTACCTGATGTTTTCCCTAGATTATTCCAAATTCAGATTTTACACTGCCTTTAAAAACTGAGGCTCCTGCCATGCTGGTGTTCAGGGGCAAAAAAATATCATTCTTTCAGCTGCATAGAGAAAACTGGAAATTACCTTGCCTGTAAGCTGTGTAACAGCTCAGTTGCTTGCAGGACATGAGAGAAAAGAAAGCCTTCCTGCATCCAAGACGACACACAACATATGCCATTCAACATACGCCCTCCTGCTTGTGCTATGCTGTTTGAGCGACAACAGTCTGGACTTTTAATTGTCATGACCTTAATTAGTAGTGACAAATATTTTGGAACTGCAGGACTGGGGATTTCTATATAAGCTTTAGACCCCATGTAAAACGTTTACTCCTTATATCCACTTTGAATCTTTCCTTAAGTTATTCAGCATATACATCTGACAGAGTAAAAGAAGCACTGAACTGTGCTGAGCTTGAGGTCATATGCTTTCCAAATCCCCTGCCAGCACACCTTAGATGAAATTTCTCCTGGAAACAATGCAGTTGTTGACATTTTCTTTCAGTGGGGAAAGGAGAAGTAGAAATATGGGGGCAGCCACTGGTTTCATGCTAAACTAAGATACATGGAAGGAAAAAGTGATTTATTTTGGTTGAACCTTTTTAAAGAAACTGGGGGTTCTTTGTGCCATACTTTCACATAGTAATAATCTGAAACATTCTTGTTCTATCAGAGATGTCCCCAAGGGAATTCCATCATGTATCTGAACTTTTTTTGCCTGTATTCCACCCAACTATGAGCTATTTTAGACATCTCCAGCTTCTCAGAGTAGCCTTTCACCTGACTGACTCAGGCACTCACACCATGCCATCCTCAGGGAAGGGTTGTGCGATCACAGACAATGCAGGGGTGTGTCTCACCTCTGCTGTTTTGAGGTGAACACCAGCCACCTTCTCCTGGTCACCTGGACGCCTCTTTTCTGGACACCAGTGACGCTAAGGCATGACACTAAGGCATGCTGTTGCCATCCTGGACTCTTTGGCTGTGGACACCCTCCTGGCAAGTGGGGGCATGTAGGTTTGGAGATACTGGGGAGAGTGCTGGCTGCCTGGGGAAGGATCCACTGCCCCATCCCAAAGGAGCCACTATGTGTGCTACACTTCGGCTTTCCTCAGATAGCACAAACCTTTTGTGTCTCTTGATGGGCTTTGTGCCTTAGAAGCCCTGGAAGGCTAAACCTGAAACAGAAATACCACAGACCAGACCCTCAACTGGTATAAATCAATAGCAGTTCTATGAAAGCAGTTGAGTCATGTTGATTTATATCAGCAGGTGGATCACGGATCCTATCCAGCTTTTTTGTAACAAAATGTCTTGCTCCTTTCTTGTTCATTTTAGTAACAGGAAACAGATGACCAGTTTTCCTAATGAAATGCTGGGGTTTTTTCTGATCCTCTTTATTTTTATTTTAATGAGGATGTCTAAGGTGAGAAAATCCGAAACCAGACACCTGCATCCCACCCGCCTCCAGCCCACAGATACTCATATTGCTCAGACCCATGCTGTGAGGCTGACAATTGGCCCTGCCTTGGGTTGAAAGAAAATCCCCTATATCAGTATGCCTATAGTTGTGTGCTGAACATTACACTTACAGTCCTAACGCTTTTGTAGTCAAAAATGTCACAGCATTAATCCCTCTATGCAATTCAAGGGATCCTTTTGCCATCTGTCTTAGCACAGAGGTGAACACAACAGCCAAGCAGACAACATTGCTGCCTGCTTCTCGCTGTCTTAAAACAGAGTTTCTTGCACCCATCTGTTTGCATGTCCCTGCACACAAGGCTGTTCCCTGGAACAGTTATCCTCCCAGACAGACGGGCTTTGCACTGGGGACTCATCCCAGCCTGCAGGCGGGAAGTTTGCTGCAGTTCCCAGGGTAACGCCTTTCCCATGAGATGGGGAGCTGCAGATGGAGGCCACTGTCTTTCCCTGCAAAGGGAAGCAGTTTCCACTAGGAAACTGCAAGATTTTGCTCTGCGCAAACCACAGGCATTGGCTTTGTTTCCAACCCACCACCTTCTCCAGGGCAGTCATTCTATCAGCTGTCCCCTCTCCTCAGCCTGGCCCACCACCGGCATTTCCCCCTTCATGCTTTGAACACATGCACATTGAAATCGGTCTGGATGTGGAACAGTGTTTGCTCCTCAGCCCCGCTGGACCCTGACGCAGGGAGCTGGCATAGCCCCAAGCCACCTGCCTGTGAGAAGATAACAAGAGGAGCTGCCTGTCGCAGATTAGTTAAGAGTCTGACTGAATAGTCATTATATAAACCCGAGGCTTATTTGTTTATTTTTCCCTAAGGAAGTATCCAAATATTGGTGGAAACTAATATTTTTTTCTAAACTCAGCCATGTTATTCTTCTAGGAATTATCACACACATCTTTACCTTCTTCTTCCTATAAATGGGATTTAGGAACTGATAACTCACTCTCTATACCAGGCACTCTGTCTGGTAATTCCTTAACAGCACCAAAATGACAGCCACAGTTGTAGCCCCCCAGGCACTGCCAGGTTGCCCTGCAAAAGACTTGGCCACCTCCTAGCATAGCACTGGGCCAAGCTTCACAAAAGTGCAGTAAAAATAAGAACAATCAATAATTTGATTTATAGTGGAAAAAAAAAAAAGCATGCATGTCTTAAATGGGAGTGGTGCTGCAGTGTCTGCATAGCTCTGGCCATTCCCATGCCAAGTCCTGTGTGTGAGGCACAGAGACTGTGGGCCTCTCATCCCAAGCAGGACAGTTGGAATAATGACAGTGTTTCCAGCAGCTGATTACTGATGTACAGAAAGCAGACAGATTAGGCCACGTGTGTTCGTGCATCTGAGCAAATTATTTGGTGAAAGTCACACATCTGAGTAATGAAATGAGGCTTCTGTAGCGAACTGGTACATCCTCCTGGAACAGCCCTGAAGGGAAAGCGATTAGAAATCAAAGGGAGGTGGGAAGTGTTTAAAAAGTTGTTAAAAAAGACTTATTTCAAATGACCTGCTAATTTTTGCATTTCCAATTTTGTCAACATTTTGCACATACTCATTTTCACTGTATAATCTGTTTCTCTTGCTCTTTTTGTGTCTCTTTCTTTGAAACAGCAATTAGTAAGACTTCCTATTGCAAAGGAAATCTTGGCTAAATATAGTAATGAAGAGGAGGTTGTTTAAGATCTGCTAGGTATTCTACAGCTCTCTGGTATTCCACAGCTCTCTGGTATTCCCTGAATGTTTATTTCAAATGAGACTTTTTTTCCTTTAAGAAAAACATCATTTTTCAAGAGGAAAGCTCACCAAAGAAACACAGCAACTGGTGCAATACCTGAGACAATTTTTCACTGTTACATCAATAATTGCAAAGCCATCAGTATGGGGATATCCTATGGGGATATACCATTCCTGCTGTCTGCAAATGGAGAAGACCAGCTGTAGGTCCTCCTTCGCTCCTAAAAGCAGGCACTATATGGCTTAAACCATTAAAGGGGTTCAGATGTGCAGGTGACCCTAACCCTAACCTTCTCCCTGGTCCTTGGTCTGGCCAGTCAGTAGAAAAGCTCATGAGGATGCCAACAGGGCATGAGCAAGGCTGCGGTGGTCATGGTCCTGCCTTGGCAGCTTGGAGGAGACCACAGGGAGGGCAGGGAGGCCAGGCAAGAGTGAACATGCACCAACCCAGGAGACAAGACACCAAGGAATGGGCAAAGATGAGTGGTAGCAGGGCAGGAACAGGTTAAGCTGTTTCTGAAATGACTTTTTTCCTAGATCTGTTTCTGATGGATGCTGTGGAGGTGGTACTGATTCACAGGCTGTGGGAAGGTCATCCCAGCTTTCACCACAGCCTTGATTGTGCATCACTCCCCAAGCTGGGGTAGTGCTCTGCACCAGCAGGACAACACTGGGCAGGACAAGTAGCAGTGAGCATAGCACAGGGCTTTGCTTTCACCAGTTTCCATGTGACTGGAGAAAGGAAATATCTTCACTATACAGTGTGTCAGGGCACAGCCATGTGAGCTTGATAGCAGTAGCCACTGGACATCACTAGGCACAACCCCTCCTTGCCAAACAACCTGCCTGGGGCAAAACAACAGGCATGCGAAATGCTGGGGGCAGGCTCACCCCACAGCGACTGCCTCCCTGTCAGCTGGGCCTTGTGCCCTGCTCTGAGGGAAGGCTCCTGCTCCTCACTCTTGGACAAGCTGTCACACGGCATCACTCACACCTCTGGGTCTCTTCTGTTTGTCCATCCCTCCAGGGAAAGTCTCTGGCAAGCAAGCGCCTCACGGGCCTGATGCAGTCCTCCTGACATCTTCTTCAGCCGACCGCCCCGTGGGAGAGACATCTGGGACCGCTGCTGGGAACGGGGCACTTCAGGGAGAGCAGGTCCCTGCAGGGGAGAGAGCCTGAGTGACTGGAAGTGGAGAGCCACACACCAGGAGAGCACCTCTCTTCATAGTTTACACCAACACTTTCCTGCCTGCACAGCTCCGTAAGGACCCTGAGCTCTGTGCAGGTACGTTGTTTCCAACCAAGGTTTGGAGGAGCACACGTCACTATTCACAGGAGGTTGACAAGGCAAGGACTTGTTGTCTCATTATTTAAGGAAACAGAGCCAACCACAACTAGGAGACAGAAGAGCAGAGAGTTACCAGTATTCTTATGCATCTCCTCTCTCCCTGGCACAAACATGACTGTAATAGATGGCTCCACAATCTCACTTGCTCCCTTTCTTGTGGCCGTCTGGATCCAATAAAATATCAGCTGGAAGCTGCATCTCCTGCTCACAAAATCTCAAATGCATTTTTCCTGCAGATTCATTGACTAACTTTGTTTTTCTTTCCTATGTTTCTCCTCCTTTAAAGCAATGGAAAAAAAAAAAAGGCATTATTTAAGTTCATTGCTCATTTCAATCACTGCATCCAATAGCACGTAGCATGTCCAGAGATGATGGCCAAATCCTCAGCTGAAGTCAGGAGAGCAGGAGTGGTTTTCATCACCTGAGGATCTGCCCCATTAAGTCAGACTTTGACACTGGTACAAATCCTCTGATGTCGGCGGAATCGCTCTGCATGTGCGCATAGTGCAAATGTGATCAGACTCTGCCTGATGCTCAAAAAGTCATGTTTTAGATGTGCAATGCACACACAAGTACACACACACACACACACACACATACACGTGCCATATTTTAAAGTGAGTTGTTTTATATTTTATTTAATTTTCTATTTATTTAAGCTTACGCATACTTAATCAATGGTGGATGTTCAAGCTTTACTCCAAGCAGATCAAACTGGACTCCAGCTCCAATCACAGAGGGCCAAAATCATGTACAGAGGGAAAAGCAACTCTGATGTGGGCAGCACAACCAGCTGTGATACCATGCTCAGATAACTGACCCTGCTGAGGAGCATCATTCTGAGTATGAAAAGAGCTTCCACTAAAACTCATCTGACCTAGAGCCCATCAGTGCAACAGCAAGAGATGACCCAGTAGCTTGTTTCAAATTGTTGGGCATATAGAGGTTAGGATGAGTACAGAACTGAAGTGACTTTAATAAAAAACCCACTTATGCTAGCTACAGATAGGAAAATGGCCTGCATTCACATACAGTTTATTGTCTATATATGAAAATTTCAAGACGTAGTGCCACAAAACCTCCTGTATTTTGCAAACAGTTCAGATCTAAAGCATATGTGAAAAAGGATGTTTCTTGGTCTTCTCTCATGCCAAGGCAAATTGGCTTTTTGAACAGGTGGTAGAAATTGCTACATGGCTACAAGTCTGCATTCCTACCTAGGCAAACCCATCTAGCTAAGTAGACAGGTGGCTATTGACAACATTCTTCTGAGGCAAGTATTATTCAAATATCTAAGGCCTATGTATGCACAAAAACATGCCAGAGTAGTTTCTCTCAGAAGAAGGACTTTCCCTCTTTACCTATGAAAGTTCTTATTCTGATACCTCTTTTTTTTTTCTCCCAGAAAATTTCTATTATCAATTATACCTAAGATCCATACACCTGCATGAATGTACAGTAGAATATTGAGTATGATGTTTGTTCTTTACATATGCCTATACCTTAAAAGCCTGCTGTGTGCGGCCTTCAGTCCAAATTCATCTTACACATCCTACACAGATGACATACAAGTCAGTTCCAGGACTGCAGAACCACTGTGGATGTGCCTGGACATTCTTGCAGTGCTCTGCCTCTGAAGGAGACATTTGGTTCCCTCCAAATTGTCCCTTAGCTCTCTTTGCAGGACCCATTTGTCCTCTGTTGTTCACCTGGCCAAAGGATCCCCTCAGAAAATAGCAGGTCTTCATGTAAAAGGCTCACTTGTCCATTCATTCATATTCATACATGTCCCCTTAGTCATCCCTAGGAAAATGCAGAGGTTAGCTCTCCTCAGAGCCTTTCAGATGGTGTTTTTATCTCTGTCAAGCCCACCATTGCTATGCATCACTGGAGCTCTGTAAACAAACAGCTGCTTGAAATCCAAGCTATTCTACTTCCAGTGTTGCCCAGCCTCTGGGCATTTCCCTGGGGAGGTCTGTCTTGTGAACCCTTAAGGTGGTCTGCAGAGCATTCTTGAGCAAGATGTACATATCAAGCATGAAACTCTGGTGTGTAGCAAGGAGTAGGGATGGTAAAGTGTTACCAGGGAGTCTCTGCTATGCTGATAGAGTTCTTGACACTGGAGAGGTCACCTCCTGGGGGAAGGAGGGGTTAGCTCTGTGGAGGTATTCCTCAGTGTCCTGCAGCATGGGGGCACATATGGGCAGGACTGGAGGATGCTGGCAGGTGATGGGATAGGTGGAAATTGAGTTATGGTCCATGCACAGGGAGCAGAAATGCCAGAATTTAACTTGGAGATGTGCTGCTGCCCTGTGAGCAAAGCGCCCTGCTCTGCCTTTTGGCTTCCTTCCTGCAGGATGGTCATGTTGGCTGCCACAGTATTTTGCCTATGGGGAATACTCTGTGTTTGAACAGTTGAGTGCAAGGAGGGAATTCTTAGAGACACGGAGAGCATGCATATGGGCGTGCATCAGGGGGCCTGGATGCTGAACAGCTTGCCATTTAAATGCACACTCGTGCAAGCTAATCTGCTCAGTAATGGCTAGCTGAGCGGACAGAGCTGCATATTCTCTAGAGGGAAGAAAGCTCTGCTCCTCATTTCCTGACTAAATTTCTCCAAAACAAACATGCAAGTAGACAAGACCTCCTCCTGGGAACACATATGAACTGTTCTTCACGTGTCTTTTACTTCACATATGGTGATACTAACATGTAACTACTTCCACATGAACCGCATCCTTGAATTATTGCTTTTTAATGACATTGCTTATTCCAAGTGATGCTAGTGTTGTACATCCAGCAGTATCCCACTGAGCATTGCAAGCAGTAATCTGCTGCTTAGTAAGTGTCCCATGTCTTCCAACTACCTCATCGGGTTGAAGATGAGTTAGGAAATCAGCTTTCCACCTCTGCTTATGTTCTAAATGGCACTGTTGCAAGGAAAGACAGTCTGGAAAGCTTTTACAATGTCGATGCAGTGCAACGGTGTTACAAAGCTTCCCATACTTACGGGGCTATGGCTGTGAAATATGGCTGTACACTGTTATTTGGATAATAGAGTATCCAGAGTATTTGTGGCTATTGTGGCAAAACAGCACCCAGAACAAGCACTAGTGAGGTTTGACAAGCCTGTGCAGACAGCGTTAGGCTAAAGCAAATGGATTAATGTACTCTCAGTATAACTCAGCACTAAGATCCCATAGAGTACTGTAATAAAATGGTAGCAGGGCAGCCATAAAAAGTGACAGTAAGCTGACATAATAATACCAGAATAAATGTAGCAATAAGGTAACACAGGCCGCTGCAGTAAAGTAGCATTTTGATAATGCAGCAATAAGACACGACAGGATGCTGCAGTAAATTAGTTTGGGGAATAAGACAGTAATAACAGTGTGTGTGGACAAACAGTGGTACATTTTACCAGGTACTGCAGCAATAAAGATAACACATGATGCCCTAGTAATAAGTTACTACAGTAACAACAACATGATGCACTGTAAAGTTATATCAGGATGCTTCCATGCTGCAGTCAAATCCTACAAGAGGTGGTAGAGAGGCAATGAAGACAAAATATACCCCATTTTGGACTGCAAAACTTGAATCAGTTTTCTGCACAATTATCTCAGCAATACCAATCCTGTCATTCCCCACTTTCAAGGAAGCTGAGGCTAGATTGTTCCCCCATCCAGACTATTATTTTGGTCTGAAAATACAAAGTTGACTCATTGTCTTTTCAGCCAAATTGTCACAGACTGTGGTGAAGTTCTTTGTTTAGTCCTACTCACGTGAAACCCTGGTGGTTTTGGTAAGTCCTTTGCCTTGGAAAGGATTTGGCTTTCTCATCTTCTGGCATGGGTGATGCTTTTAGCCTAAAATTATTTCTGTTTTGGGTGGGGGAAGGGGAACCCAGGTACAGAACATCTGACTGTACTAGTCTGTTTCCTGAAATGCACAAATAAATTGAGCATCCTGGAAAAGTTTAAGCAACAAGGACCAAATCTGTTCTGTCTGTTCTGCACTTAAGCACACAAGAATAATCCTCCTGGAATCAGTGCAAGCTCTGGATGCATCCATGGGCCTAACCCTGTTCTCAGTGCCTCCAGTAGAGTGACAGAAGTAGTGTGCCTTCTGAAGTTTTATTTTTATAATATTCTCTCCTTTCCTGCCTTTTTCTTTTTTTTTTTTTTTTTTTTAATTTAACCTCACCCTGTGTACGAAATGGCCTTAGAAAAAATTAGTTTACTATAACACAATATGCAGCATGGTGGGCAAGGAATAGGTCTGTCCATTTGCTGTCTTTGTACCCTTCAGTAGAGGGGTAAACCATTCTGTAAAATAACAACTCAATAATTATCAGGCATAAGGGTTTAGCCAAAGCATCAACAGCAAGACTTGAATTTCATGTATGTTCTAGATAACAAGATGGTTCTCCTGGGAAAAGGACGTAAATAGGGCACCACTGCAGACTCTTGACCAGCAGGAGCAGCTCACAGCTCACTCTGGCTCCTGCAGCCATTCCCAACAGATACAAGTTTTCTCTCACATCTCTCTGACCCTCTGCACAACAACTTTGCTATCCCTTTATGTGGTTTCCTCTCTCTAGCTGACTGTTCAGTTCAAGTTTGGAGCAGTGCTCTAATACACCTTGGTTTGGCTCTTCCCTTAACTCCTTGGCTTGCTTTTATTGTGGTTTAATGATTAAGCAGGATTATTTAAGCAGAGCTCACAGTAGGATTGAGATAGGCTAGGTTATCATGATATTTGACTTTTAAGCTGTGAGCAATTTTGCAGCTTCTCAACACTGTTTATAACCTGAGCCAGAGAACAAGCGAGGTGGCTGCTCAGCAGAACAGTGAGCTGGTGAACAATACACTATCTTCATGCCCACACATACTTTAAAGTTACTGGTGAGGAGAAATGCTTTGTAGTGAGAAAAGTAATCTCACGGCAGGGGAGAGGCAAACCTGATCAACTTTTTCACATGATACAGATTTTGCTTTGCCAGCCCCTAGCATCTGCAAAGCTCATAGCTAAGAGCCAGCAACCTTCTAATCCTGCTGCTAAGCTTTGGAAACAAGCTTTTCAAAGGCTGTCTTTACACAGCAATGCTATTACTTGAAGCCTTTTAATGTGAATTTATGCCTATTGCCACAAGTGTCAGTGTAGTTGCCCTCTATGTTTGCAATAATGTATTCACCCCATGTACAGGGTGGATGTTAGTGGGCAGAATTTAGGGATTTACCAGTGCATTCCTGTCTGGACACCCAGAAGACACACTGAAACATCTTGTGTGGCAGAGGACAGCTCTGCTGGGGACAATGGCATTGTTCCTTGGATATTGCTGTCAGGAGAGATACTGAACTGAGCTTCTCTCCCTCATCTTTGGGGACTTAAACCATGCCATCCTTACATAAATAGTAGGTGACAGCTAGCCCTGACCAGCACCCTCTGTGGGTGAACTAAGAAGTCCTCGTGTGGACCAAGGTTTCAGGAGTAGTTGTTTCCTTTCGGATCCTCAACAGTATTTCTCACATCCATCCACGTGCACGTTATTCCTGCATGATACATAGCTTCACAGCCCAAAACCATGAGTGTCTGTTTCTTACCATGGTTCAGCTGAGCCCCTTGCTGCTTCGATTAAGGCACACCAGATAAAAATTTCAAATTATGTTTTATACAACACATAATTTACCATAAAAGCAGTGGGATTCTAATATCTGCTCTTTGGGGGTCATTCGGGGTCAAACAAGGAACTGTGGGATCTTCCTCCGCAAAGGAAAACTTCTGAAGGCCTCCTGCCCCTGTGGTGTGATTGAAGGCAGCCGGCACAGGGTAGTGAGCCCTGTCCTTGGGGACTTGCCCATGGCGAGCAGACACTCGCTGCTCCTCCGCAAGACCATGTCCCGTTATCGGTAGAGGTCCAGACCCGGGGAGGGTGGAGGGGAGCCCCGCTGTGGGACGGGAGCAGTGGTGGCTGTGGCGCCAGGATCAGGGCGGTGGGTGGAGGAGAGCCCCAGGGGGTTGATGGGGTCTGTGGACCCCTGCTGCATGAAGGGGCACGGAGCACCACCCCGCAGCGCGCTGGTGGGGCAGGCGGGGCAGGTCGGGGAACAGGCGCACCCCGCACGAAGCCGCTCCGGCCGCTCTCCCGGCGCGGTGCGAACGTGGCACTGGCGCCGGGTGGTTCTGGCCTCCACAGGCACGGAGCCGCTCAGGATTTCGACCTGGGCCGCTGGCGGGCAGGGCCGGGAGCCAGCTGGCCGGGCCGGGCGGCAGCTGCGCCCGCCGCGGGGAGGGACCGCGCCGGGGCCGGGGCCGGCGCTGCGGGAGCGGGGCCCGGCTGCCCCCGCCTGCGCCCGCCCCGCCCGCGGGCTTAACTCTTCCCGAGGAACCTTCCAGCCGCAGCAAACGACGACAACACAGGCTGTGCACCGACCTTGGTGCTTTGCCACATACCGGGGGTTGCTGAAGGCTCCTAGTTCCCCGCAGCCCACGTCCACGCTGCTGGCAGCCACGCTCTCGTCGGTCACGCTCATCCCTTCGTCTGGCACCAGCACCCTAGGAACGGCTCTGCTCCTCCCAAACAAACCCGAAAGCCTCCCATCAACGAGCTGTGAGACAAAGACCTGTGGCTCTCAGGTTTGGAAGGTCCCAGAGCCGAGCGGTATTTGCAGCCCAAGCTCTCCTCGGCAGCAAGGTCAGCGCATGCACACCTGCAGACCCACGAGATGTGGCTGCCAGCCACCCTGCTTGAGGACCATGCCGATTCCCAGACCTGCCTGTAACCCCCACGCTGTGCCCAGCTGCGGGAGCTCGAGGTCGCTGGGCTTACATCCTTCAGAGCATCTCTGTTTCCTGTGTACCATTTGTCTCTGCAGGACATGTAATGTTTGCTGGTTTAGCAAGAAGGGACCAGTAGGGGCCAGGGAAACCAATACCTTCCTCAACTAGACCCTCTCCTTAGTGCATGCAGGAGTCTATCTTGGAAATCAGACTGAGAGAGTTGCAGTGTGCAGCCCCCTTGTCCTGCAGGACAGGCTTATTTGCTCTGTTTATTTACCTTCAAGCCATCCTGCAGCTCTGCTCATCTGAGCATCAGTGCTCCTCCATGCATCACGCTCCCAGGACACTACATTGCCATTACACTGGATCTTCCCCACATCCCCTTGCTTTAGCATCTATGGTTCTGATCTGCCTTTCTGTAACTCTTGTTTTCACTGAGCCCCTCTTAGAGAGGCCAGTTTGTGCAACTTTTATAGGGATTGTCAAACTAATATTTCCCTCTGTAAGCTGGCTGAAGAATCAGTCTCTTCACTAGAAGAAATACTTGAGGGCTGCTAAGTACAAAGCTACTGAGCTCCGTATCTGCTCTGAAACTACAAAAGCAGTGAGTGGGAGATGTGTATGCGGTTTGGGCTCACCCCTGTTTTCATCTCAACCTCACAATGTAATTTGACCTGTGAGCAGAACTGGCACATCCTGAGCTCAGGCAGTGGTAGCACCTTGGCAAAAGCAAGTTTGCAGCATTTACCTGAACACAGTGTTCAGGACTGCTTGGCCCTGCTGTCACCTCCAGGCAACTGGAATCTCTGACACCTGGAATCTCTGACACCATTTTATGTGTTTCTGTCAGTGCAGCTGCATATTTGTTTATACAGACGGTATCAGGGAAAGCCTCAAATCCTTCCCTCAGTTGATGGCTGATGCCATATGTTAGATCCTCCATGCTGGGGCAGAGACAGATCTGGGGCATGGTCTGGCCAATTCAAACTAATTAGAGCTTTCTGTAGTCTAAAGAAAGTTTACCTTGCAAGGACCCTCAGCCAGCCCTGTTCGTACACACACACATCCAACACACGGGAAAAAGGACATCCTTCTGTGGTTAGGATGATGGATCATCTGCTATGGGCCACCACCAAACTACAAGCCCTCTCTTGTAACCAGACTCCTGGGCTTCTCATGTCATGCATATTGGGTAGGTAGGTACCCTACCCAAAAATGTCTGTCCTCCTCTGACAACTTGCCTTTGGACATGGAGATGATCTGCCATAATGCTGAATTCCTCTGATGCACCCTGCCTTCCCCACTGCAAAACAGCCTTCACAGCCAGAACTGGGCACAGCTTAATTACCTTCTGCCGTCCTTTAATTAGGCAGTTGTCAGAGCTTTATGAAAAGCAGCACAGCAAACAGCAGGCTTCTAAAATGTGTAAGCAATGGCAAGAGCAGTGCTAGAGCTACCTGCATCAAATAGGAAATTAAATTGGTTGTGTGAGTTTTCTCACCTGAGGTATTATTCACCTAATGAATATGGTGGCAATTCTGCATCACACTAAGAATGGTTTCAGTGTGACCTTTCTTCTCATCTGACAGGGCTTTGAGGTCTCCAATGGATCACGGGAATGATGTGCCCTGGCTGCAGGTAGAGGGACTCAGATCAGCATCTTTCCCTTGGCTCCCTGTCTGACTGTCAGGGCATTGCTGCAACCCACTCTCATGGGACTTGGCCTTCTCTTCCTGACTTTCTCTTTTGACCAAGCAAGCAGTTCCCAGAAAACAGTCAAGTTACTGTATTAAGGTGATCCTGCCCTCAGTGTCTCTTTGTTTCTGGGGAGTCTTAAGCAAATCAAGTTGCAGAGTATACACAGAACACCACAGTCTCTGTGTCAGATGAAAGGACAGTCCAAATGGAGAGAGAGGGCAAAAGAGAAAGCTCTGTGTTTGCATTCATCTTTGACATGATGGATTCCCCCTTCCTGGAAGCAGCCGTGGCATAAATAAAGGCAGTAAAGGCTTTTATGCAAGAACTCCCTTCACTACCAATAGTCATGGAGTCATAGATAATAAAAGACCTGGCAGCTCATCTTGCATTGCTCCCTGTAATCAGCAGGATTTTCCCTACTGAATATTCACTGAGGTTACTTTATCTAGCACACCTCTGAAACCTCCATGGATGAGACCTTAGCAGATGCCCTGAGGAACACATTCTTCCATACTTGAAATATTCTTACTGCAAGGAAAAAATATACCTGATATGCAGTGTAAAAAGTCATCTCTGAGTAAGTTTAAAAACACTGAGAATCATCTTTAGGCCACAAAAAGCAAAGGTGTTCAGCACTGTAGATTTTTTTTTCCCCTGAGTATTTCCCTTAATGTTTTGTTTTTTTTTTTTCATTGTCTTCAGTTTATTCCACTTTATATCAACATCCATTCCCCATCATGAAAAGTGTAGATATTTGTGGACTATCATGTCTCTTTTCAACCTTATCCCCACCTCAGACTATAACAGCCGAAGCTTTTCTCATATGCCGGTTTCTCAAAAACTGCTATTGATTTTGCTGCCTTTCTATTTCTTTAAAAGATCACTCAGAAAAAAGCATAATAATGTGAAGACAGAAGGGCTGTACTTGTCCATACGGCACAATTACCCAGTCATTTGCGTAAGTGAGGTGTCACCCTGGCATTGTGCTCTTTGTGGGAAACTACATGCATGTGTCACACATGTTGTGGTGTAACATATTTGTTAAATCTATTTATTGCACATCTTTGACCACTTTACCTATCTTCATCCCACACTGCCATCTGTTCTGTGGCTACCACCCCCCCATCAACTCTCCTGAGTACCCATGGAGGGCTGCCAGGAGAACGGTTCCTCCTTTTCTTGCCAAATTTGGAATTTCAGTTGCAAATTTACCCTAGCAAGAGTGCCAAGGGGAGACAGAGTCAATGCCAAACCCATTCTGGCTTTCCTGTTGGGCACAATTTCAGTTCTGTCACAGTAGCTGAAAAGGGGAGCTGACTCCCATCAGAAAGGGGTCATGTCCAACACTTCAAGAGGAATCAGCAGTTGTTCCCAGTCCAAAAAGAGCTCCAAAGGCTTTAAAACTGTAAAATCTGTAGAATCTGAAATTAATTCTATTAATGACCATCTCAAAACCCTGCCCATTTGTCTTCATAGAAAATAGTGGACCTGGCTGCACCAAGTGAAGGTCTTTTTAAAAACAGTTCCAATAAAACATCTGTTAAAACCACCTACATCACTCCTGGAATATTTTTTCCACAGAAAGGGCTTGTGTAATATCCACAGGGATTTTTTGTTTGCATGTAATGCTACCATCCTGCAGTCATGTTAAGAGAAAGCTTTATACAACTCTGTTGTATAAAGTATTGACCATCATGCTTGGTCAATACATACACACACACAAAACCAGAGATTTCCAAAATCAAGTGGGGCTTTCCATGCACAAGTTCCCCATAAAATAAGACAAATGTGTTTTTTCCTACAGTGTGCCCTGCAGGAGCTCTCATATGCAGATACTGTGTGCTCCCCTCAGTGCTGTACTAGCACTGCAGCCAGGCATGAGACATATTACCAGCCTGCTCCTGGTGAGTCATTCCAGCAGAGCAGTTGTGTGGGAGTGCACTTGAAATGATCCAATTTACTCATTCTCCTCAAGGACCACAGGAGCACCCACTGCAGTGAAATCTGTGCTGGCAATCTGCACAGCAGAGGGGGCAGAGTTTGACTTGGTAGAAACAGGCTTCATCTCAGCAGGGCAGGAGGCACTCCACTTCAGCTGATGGAAGATCCCCATGGGAGAGGAGGTTGAGAAAGAGGTCCCAGCAAGAGCCCTTCCTGCTTTCTCTGTCCCCATCCTTGGAAGCAAGGACCCAGCTGATGAGCTGATGACTCAGAAGGTCCTTTGATCTTCCTGGCCTGTTGCCCTTTCACCACCTCAGCTCCCTTGAGGCTGCTAAGCTCCTGTGCATATAAATCTTGGCCACCACCTCCTGCCTCTCCAGCTTGCTTC